TCTCAAGCCACTTAATTTGAGCATAATGATGATGGAAATTATCGGATCAAAAAGATGCAAAAAGGTAATTTAAATTCAGTAAATCGAAAGACGATAATTGCCCCTTTCGATAATGTAATCGGTGTGTGGCCAATTCAATTTTGAGACATACAAAAGTCTCTTTTTATGTTCCAAAGCTCAATGTACCTGAGCTTGGAAAACAAGACACCAAAGTCTTATGAACTTTTAGAAAGAGAGAGAAAAAAATGGGTAGAGAGAGAGTTTAGTTAACAGTTATGCTCTTTGGAATTTTACAGACAAAGATGTGTTGAGAGAGACTTGCTAAAGGTTGTTTTCGTGTGGCAAAAGGGACTTTTTTTTATAGAGTTATAGAGAAGCTGTATATTTATTGTAGAAATGGTTACATGCACCATCAAATATTTACAAGTTACATGCATGCTCTTAAATCTCAACGGCTGTTGTTATCGGCCTCATTTTCTTCAACAGCTAGATAGTTGGTTTTCTTCAATGGCTAGATGACTCTTGGATGTCCCACACGAGTCATACTTACGAGTCATGCTTACAAAAAGATATTGAGCGATATTAAGCCCCGTAGACGTGGTTGAGCGAGAGGCGTCGATGCGAAGTACAAAGTGGGATATCAAGCGCCCTTAGGCCCATGCCCTAGCACACGCACGTGCACTAACATTCTCGCCTTTGTTCTAAGAGTATAAAGCATGTGAATGTCTACAATTAAATACTGCTCAATTTACTCTTTCATCTTCAATGTATGACTAAAACCAACAACTTTCTTTCTCACAAAACACAACTTAAAAATACCTACAAAAACCATGTTATTTTGAAATACACACAAGTATTTTTCAAAACTAAAAATGCTAATGTTAAAATCACAGCATGGGTTGTCCAATGAAAAATAATGAGTTGTAGTTCGGCACTATGAACAATCTAGGCTATGACTATCATTTTCAGTGTGCCACTTAATTTGAGGAAAACTATTATATCACCCTTTTTTAGGATCTGGATCTTTTGGATAGAACACAACCAATTTCTTTTTGGGAGAAGAATCGATGATTCATTCATCATTTTTAAAAATAATTAAAACTTTTATTTTGATTTCCTAAGCCAAGGAATCAAAGGTTGATTCCAAATTTAGTTTGTGTTACCTTGGCCTAAACTAATTGACATAAATGTCTTCCCTTATTCAAGGTTGAGAATCAAGATAAATTAATTATTAAAAAAAAAAAAACAGAGGAAGAAGAAGAAGAAAAAGCAAAGAGAAGAGAAGAGAAGAGAAGGGAAGCATGAATTCAAGCAAGCTCACATCACTAATGCCAAATTACCAAAATTATTCATATTCTTCATTAACGTTTGAGATTTGGGTATTTTGGATACAATTTTTTAAAGAAATGACATAGCCATTAGGAAGTTTAATGCTATACTGGTTGATGTAACAGCCTTAACAATTATTATTTGGATGGGCTACTTTGACCCAGTGTTTTCCAAAAACACAGTTGCGATCAGGATTCATCCATTTAGGATTGGGATTCGGCCCGTACTGGTCCAGCTCCAGCCCAAGTATCAACCGGTCCCCAAAAGCTAATTTTTTATGTTTTTTATTTTGGGAATTGTTTTTATGTGAACAATATATGACATGTGACCCCGTTTGGCTGCCGTTCGATCACTACGATTGCACATACCACAATATCTCACCAAACGCTGTTTTGGTTTTCAATTTTTTTTACAAAACATTTTTGGATGAAATTTTGGGTATCCCATCATAAAATTAAAACGAACCTAGAAAAAAATACAAACAAATTATTTTTTGTAAAATAATGATCAAAATGCCCTTTCAATTTTTAGAGGTATTTTCGTATTTTTTTTATCACTAGATATATTTTTTATTGTTTTTAGCATGTGCACCCCTTTCAAATCTATGCATGCCCCCAAATTTTATATATATTTTAATATTTAAAGGGTGAGATTTACATAAGGTTGCCTCTTTATAGGGTGGAAGTAAGGTGCACTTTAAAATTTTGTATGGAGATATAGTTTGAGTTTCATAAACCTTATGATAGCTTGAGAATAGGGTTGGATTTGTGGTGGTAGCACTACTTGTACCCTAGCTAAGGTCTAGGCTTTCATTTTCACCTAATGCCTTCAAAAACTACCAATGATTTAAAAAGTAAGGGCTCTTCATTCCCACTGAATTACCCAAAAAATAAATAAATAAAAATCTTATGATGGCTTGTAAATTTGTATTCAATCCTAGTTATTAAATTAGAAATTTAAAAAGGTTGAAGTTTGCCTAGTGCCGATGCTCTAAACAATCAAAGTAAAGTGCTCCTTCAAGTAGTGTCGAGAAATGTAGTTTCAATACTGGAAATCTTTATGATAGCCTTAAAACATATTTTTAGATTTAATTATAAAAGTTAAAGCTTAAAAAATAGTATATATCGAGTAGATCTATGAAAACTTGAAAATTGACAGTCCAATAATGCATTACAATATATACTATTTTCCAAAACTTTAAATCCAATTTTCTCATGTCCATGTACCTTGAGGTCAAGATGATCAATCTAAATATATTTGGGCATCAAAACAACCTCTTCTTTTGAAATTTTTGAGGTGCACCATAATATGATTGTTTAGAGCCACGCACTTATATAAACTTTTTCCATTTAAAAAAGGGTGTGGTTTCTATAAGGTTGCAATCTTAAACAATCCAAATAAGGCGCACCTCCAAAATTTATCGTAACATGTAGTTTTGGTGTAAAAAATTCTTAGTATTATATTAAAATCTATTGTCATATATAATTAGAAAATTTTAGAACTCAAAAAATTCTTAAAGTCAAGTAGATCAATAAACATATGAAAATCTTGAAAATTGACGGTCTAGATAATATGTTGTAAGATGCACTATTTCTAGGACTCAAAAACTTGTTTTTTTTCATATTCTTATATTTTGATGTCGAGATGATCCATTAAAGGGTTTTTCAACATTAAAACGACATTTTCGATGGATTTTTGAGGTGCATATGTAATTCTACATTTAAAGGTTGCAACCTTATATGAACTTTTTCCTTTAAAAAATAGTACAAATCTAGCAAATCTATAAAACTTGAAAATCTTGAAAATAAACAATCCAGATAATTTAATACAACATGCACTAGTTTTTAGATTTGAAATTCTTTTTCGCTTTTTGAAAAGTATACAAAGAGATATGAAGTCACAAATCACTATTGTCCATCTGATTTCAAAAAAAAAATTATCGAAGTTTGTGACACATTTCAAACTACCCAATTAGACATCTAATGGCTATGAGTAATTGTGACCTATTTGAACAAAAATAAATTTTATCCTAATATATATGCGGGATGCATACTATACATATATGGGCCCCTCTTAAATCATCTTAGAAATGGATTTTCAATCTAAAATTTTAGGGATTTATGATCTCGGTTAAGATGATCATGAACATGAAAAAAGAAATTGATGTTTAAAATGTAATCTATTTGAAAAAAAAAATTACACCATACAAAACTGGTGAGTTTTTTTATAATGTCCATCTTACGTGAATCAGCGGGATCTTGCACACACTGACTCAAGAATGACTTTTTTTATTCTTTATATCTATATATCTCAAAGTCGAAATGATCAAATTACAAGGCTTTCCAACTTTTGAATGCTCTTTTTTTTGTTGGAGTGTTAAGGTTCACCTTACTTATACTTATAGTATAAGATTGCAGCCTTATATAATTATTTTTATATATAAGGGATGTGGTTTGCATAAGGTTTAAACCCTAAAAAATCCAATTAAGGCGAACCTCTAAATTTTTATCATAAATATAATTTTAATATAAAAAATCTTAAGACGGTTTGAGAATCTATTTTTTTCTTTAATTATAAAATATAAAACTTTAAAAATAGTTCAAATCAAGTAGATATGTAAACCCATGAAAAACTTGAAAATGGACGGTCCATATAATGTGTTGCAAGATACATTATTTTCCTTGCTCGAAAAACAAATGTATTTTCAAATTCATACATCTCATTGTCGATATGATAAACTAAAGGGTTTTCTAACATCCAAATAACTTTTTATGATGGATTATTGAAGTATACTTTTACTTCTACATTTCAATACTGCAACCTTATATAGATTTATTTCCATATTTAAAACCACCTTAACTTTGATTATCTTATATTAATTTTAAAAATTTTAATATTGTAATATTTTTCCAAACAATTGTCCAACAATTCGACATGAACGTGTGGGTCGATGATCCCCCCTACCACTCTACCTTCCAATTTTTAAAAAAATCTATTTTTTTTGAGTTTATAAGTAAATAAATAAATAATTTATTTTTTATATAAAGTGGTAATAATTAATCTTGACTTAGATTAAATATGGCATTGAGTGGCTACATTTATTTCGACCAAAATAAAAGTCACAAAAAAAATTTCTCGATACACGGAAACTATCAGATTTCACATCATCAAATAGTTATAAGTAATTATATCACCGTACACCAAAAATATATGGTCTCATATGTATATATAATATTTATTTATTTTATTTGATTATGTTAACACTATTTTCACGTATTTCCCAAAACCTGCGTGGTTCATTTGATTGTTTTGTAAGACTCATTTGACGTGTTTCGGCACGTAAACAAATGTGGCCCCATCTTTACCACGCTGCTCAGTTCATATTCTCATACTCATCTTATTGTACGAGTTTCTCGAGTTTCCTAAAAAACCGCTGTTAGGCGCACGTGCTGACCCTAAAGAGAGACCAACGGTTACTCCTAGTCTTCCATTTATTACTCCCCCACTTTCTTGCATGAAACGACGACACTACTTGACAGCCTTTGTCTACCACAAGTACCCATTCACGTGACTCATTCAAATAATTCAAAATCTATTATATTAAAATAGTGAAAATATCATCGTCTCTCAGTACAATAATAGAGGGAAATCTGCAAAGCTTTTTTTAATTTGTCATTTTTTTTGGGACACTCGAAACTCTCAGTTTCAAAAAATGAACTTGATGTTTATCCATTGCACCTTCTCACTCTCTTTCCAGAGGCCTGAAATGCAGATGCCTCTTATCCCCCAATTCTTCTTCTCCTTCCTCCTGATACTCATACTCGATGAAAGTTCGGCAGCACGAAGCCAGCCCTGCTCAGCTCCGCCCTTTTCCTATCCTTGCCCGCCCTTCGATTCCGATCCTCCGCCTTTCCCTTTCGCGGCGGTGAGCGGATGCGGCCACCCGGGGTTCCGCATCCACTGCGACTCCCCTCATTCCCTCATCTCCATAGACAACTTCATCTTCCAACTCTTCCGAGTCAGCCCTTCCTCTCTCCAGATCGCCTTTCCCCACTCCCTCCCTGCCCGCCCTTTCAACCTCTCCGCCCCATTCGGCCCCTCCCCCTCTTCCTGCGCTCGCCTCAGTCGTGTCCCTGGCGTTGGAGTCACGAACGAGAGCCTCAGCCGATGGCAGCGGCGCCTCCTCCTCCACCCCCTCCTCCTCCTGCCTGCATGTAAACCCCCCTTCTCCCAGTCTCACCACAATGATAGTACTCCTGTGGATCTCCATGAGTACTTGAGATCGGGCGCAATGGAGGTTGTGTGGGATGAGGAGGATGCCTATTTCGGGGGCTGCCAGGTGTGCCGGCTCGCTCATGGTCTCTGTGGCTTCAATGAGACCGATCCTCGCAAACCTTTCCTCTGTTACCCTAGTGCATCTGCTGAGTTATCTCAGCGCGGGGCTTACCACAAGATCCTTGTAGGTAATGTTCCAGCAAGCTCAAATGGTGAATTGACCCTCTTAAATTACAATCACTGGTTTTGTTAATGGCCGTTGATTTTCAGGAATCTGTGTTGTGGCAGTGGCCTTGAGCATTGTGGGGCTGCTGGTGCTGCTTGTTGCTGTGATTTTGAGGTACAAGCGGCGGGGAATGGTGGTGGAACAGGACGACCTGAGCAAGGTTTTCCACAAAGACGCCTTGCTGCTCCACCACATGAGTAAGCCTCTCCATCTCGACCAACAACCACACTCTTTTGCCTACGAGGAGCTCGCAATCTCGACCAACCACTTCGACCCCAAGCGCAAGCTCGGTGATGGTGGGTTCGGTTCGGTGTATCTCGGCCAGCTACCCGACGGTCAGCTCGTGGCGGTCAAGAAGCTGCACAGGCACACCGCAGGCAAGGCTAAATCCTTCCGGAACGAGATCCTAGTCCTCTCCGGCTTAAGCCATCCCCACCTGGTCAAGCTTCATGGCTTTTGCTGCGATTCAAGAGGCCTGCTGCTTGTGTACGAGTATGTCCCCAATGGGACGCTTGCCGACCATCTCCATTGCCGCAGGCACAAGCGGCTGGGGTGGAGCACGCGCCTCTGCATGGCATTGCAGACTGCCGAGGCCATTGCATACCTACACACCGCCGTGAGTCCGCCCATCGTGCACAGAGACGTAACTGCGGCCAACATTTTCGTGGAGAAGGGGCTGAGCATTAAGGTAGGCGACTTCGGCCTGTGCAGACTGCTTTTGGATGGGGGTGGCGGCGGCGGCGGCAGCGGAGGCGGGGTGTGGACCGGGCCGCAGGGTACACCAGGGTATTTAGATCCGGACTACCACCGCTCCTATTGTCTGACAGAGAAGAGTGATGTGTACAGCTTCGGTGTGGTTTTGCTCGAGCTTATATCAGGGAAGAGAGCGGTGGACATGAGCAGGGACAAGAGGGAGGTGGGGCTGGCGGATATGGCAGTGGCCAAGATACAGGTTGGGGCGCTGCACGAGGTGGTTGACCCGGAGGTGCAAGGGGCTATGGCCGCAGTGAGCAGCGTGGCGGAGCTGGCATTCCGATGCGTTGCGGCCGATAAGGACGACAGGCCTGATATGAGGGAGGTGGTGGCGGAGCTTACCAGAATTAGTAGGGATTGCACCTGAGAGCAATGCCAATGCACACAAACAAGTACACTCTTTCTCCCTCTCTGAATTCTGTAAATTGAACCATAGAATTCCAAGTTGATTTTGGAAATCTATCCCTTTTCCCCTGCAGCTGCAACCATTTTCCATTGCATATTGGGGCAACGAGGGTAATGGTGGCAATGGGCCCAACTAGACCAGGGACCCGACGGGTTACCTGAACTCAGGTACGGCCATACCCAACCTGTACCTGTGCCATATTGGCAATTATGCGTGGTTCGGTGCTCATGTTCATATTGCCACAAGGCAACATTTACAGTATTATCGGCCAAAAAAGGAAAAAGAAAAAAAAACATGGTAATAAGGTATATGATGGTTAAAAAAAAAAAAGAAACAAAAAAAGAAAAAAAAAGAGCAAAAACCGACTGGTCTGGGTACGGATCCAAAATTTAGACCAAATACCATTTGGGTCCGGGTTTGAGTGCAGCCGTACCCGGCCCATTGCCACCGGGCCATTAACTCTTTCTTTTCATAATTGGGCTTGGACATGACTTCTTAGTAGTTGTCGTTAGCAGTGCTACATACTAAGTTCAATTCTTAGTGCTAATCATCCAAAAAAGTTTACACAAAAACTGACCGGTTCTTTTGTAGCCCCGAAGCCCGTTATTTTTAATTTAAAAATCAATTGTATTTTTTTTTTATTTATGAATATTACATTGTCCACCATTTTTAATCCCATTTTAGATCAATTTTAGTAATAATGGATTTACTTTAGCCCCATTTCAGATCTAAAAGTAGTTCTTTATCGAATTTCAGTTTCGGTGAGATATTTTTCAATGAAATATCGTCAGTTTCATCTTAAAACGTTAATCCGCCATTCTTGCATTGTCTTCCATTATTTGGAATTAAATGATTTGATATGCATTAGATAGTTCATGTTGAAGTCCTTTAACCCCAAACAAAACAACAATTTGTTAAATTGTTGGATTGAATTAAAAATAAAATAAAATAATATTGAGATCAAAATTTGAGACTTTTTGTACTCGAAATAAAAAATAAATTTTCTCATTGTTTCACCAAATTCATTGAAATGTGTCCCATAATATTTCTATCCATTAATATAAAAAAACCCTAATAATTTTTAATAAGTATAAAAAAGTTCTAATATCTATTTTTTATTTTTTCCACCATCTTCTTCACAATTTTTTTTGTTATTTGAATTTTGTTATTTTGATTTTGATTTTAACGCCTATTATATAAAATCAAATATTTAATTTTAAATATTTCCAATTTTTTATTTGGCCTTTTCATGGTCTTTCTTTGTCTTCGCGGGTGGTGGGACTTGAGACTATGGGTCAACGGGCCCGTATTAACCTTTGCAACGTGTGGACCTCATGGCCTTCAGCTCCTAAGTTTAGGTAGGGGTGGGGCAATGGGACCCGGACCTAGACCCAAATGTATTTGGGTTTAGGTTTTGGATCTGGATCCGAACCCATTGGGTCTCGGCTATCTTGTCGGGTCTCATGTCTGCTCGGGTCGGGTCCATTGCCACCCTCACGATGACTTTTTTTTTTTTTTTTTTTTATTGTAGCCGGCGAACATATCAGAGAACTCATTTTTGAGGGGTGGACAATGAGAGAGAGAGACATTTGATATCCAAAGAGAGCTATATCTCCAAGAAATTGAGAGAGCGAGGATGGCGATGGGTTTAGTCGTCTTAAAAACCAGGAAAAGACGAAAAATATTGAAATGATTTTAGGATTGAGGCTTTGGTTTTTGGGTAAACTAAAAGTTCGGGTCTTAGTATTCATCAGGTCGGGTATAGTAAGACCCGTACCTGGACCTAGACCCGGGACTATCCAAGTATGTTTTGTTGGACGCGAACCTGCAGGTCCAAAGCTTAGAACCATAACCAGACTTTTATATAACCAGTGGGTATGGGTCGGGTCTAGGTTCATTGCCACCCCTACCTAAGTTAACATTAACGTGAAGTAGTCTTACGAGTATGGAGATGCATTTTTCACTTAGCAGTCCTTAGAGGTATCAAACATCCATCTTTCATATGCAAAGGTGTGGTCCCTCCTAAAAACAATAAAATCTGACTTACTTAAAACATTAAAAAAGAAATTATCTTTTTAGTTCTGTTTTTTTTTGTCTTTTTTGCATATTAATGATCTTCATCTTTGACTAATATATCTTAAAAAAATTAAGTCGAAATTCTGTCTAAAAAATAAATCAAAGAAGGGGCCGCAATACGTACATGAGAAACCTTGTCCAAATATTAATTAGGTCGTAAACCCCATCGAACTTTATTTTCAGACTTTGGTAGCGATGGATTTGACAAGATGGGAAGATTGGCAGTGTCCCAATGGGCCCACCAAACTAATTTAGCTTTAGTTTTAGGGATAGTATACAATGAGACCATTTATCCATAATACTTATAACCATTTAATGTAAAATTTGATAACTACGGTGGGTTGTAAAGTTTAATTTTTTTTTAAAAAAACTTTGAGCTTAGTCAATAGAATAAATACAAAACCCAATTTTACATAAAATGGTCAAGATTACTTGTGATCATTTTGTACCAAAGATAAATAGTCTCTTAACATACTTTTTTTCTTTCATTTTTTTACTTTCTTAACGAAAAAATTAAGGGAAAAAAAGGCATTCTCTCTCTTCCACACATCTCCCATCTTTTTCTACTGTGATCCATTTCTCATCATCTCTCTCTCTCTTCGGCTTCCTTTTCTATTTTAACCTCCATTAAAAGGACCACTGCAATAAAGATGTGGCCAATGACTTACATAAGTCCCCCCCCCCACACTAAATTCATAGAAACCCTAGCAATTGATGCGGCTAATGACAGTCTCAAGTTTATGTGGAGAGAACTATCTATGAACTAACATATCTTTGAAATATACAAGTTCTATATACGTGATTCCAATGAATGGTAAGAATGGAAAGAAATCATGAATACCTCCACTATACTAACAGTTACAATAAAATACAAAATAGTACACCTACCCTTCTCTTGAATGCTGGTACTCAACTTCAGCATTAGAGTGACCAATCGAATCTTGTTTCCTACTTTCCATGAGATAAGAGAATCACTGACTAAAATAAGGATACTTTCTATGAGATAAGAGAATCACGGACTAAAATAAGGAAACCAGTAATAGGATGGCTATTAGTAACATCTCATGTCTAACCTTGATGAGAATAAACCCAAAGTTCAAGAACAAATTTAGAGGAAAAAAACGGGCCTTTGAAACATAGTACTTCTATTGTAGCCCAAGATTAAAAAACAGTATTAGTAGAGAGCAGAGTGGAGTGCAGCCATAAAATGACACCCCACATGAATGACATGACTAACATTGGGGAGTTATTGTTAAATAATTAAGATTGTCAATAAGTTAGTGCTGGGTAGGATCAGGAAGTATCTCTTCATACAAAACTTGACATTCATATCAAGAGTTATAATTAAGATTGTCAATGAGTTAGTGCTGGGTTGGATCAGGAAGTATTTCTTCATTCAAAACTTGATATTCATCTCAAGAGGAATAACAACAATTTTATTATCCGGTAAAAGCAACCCACATTAGGAGATATGATGCGTACTTGACTTGGAAGAGTATATTTTCGAGCTGATGAATCTACTTCAATAGCAAGAAAATATTGAAGCTGGCCCTGGTTTTTAAATTCAATGCATTTGCTCAAGAAAAGTATCACGTATGCATGCGGAATTACTATCGGTGGTAGCCATACCATCAACATAAAGAAATTACAAAACTCGAGGAGACTGTTGAACAAAAACATCAAAGCCATGGCCACTTTGAATGAATTGAGGGTATAAATAAATGAGAACTTTTCAAAGCAAGTACGAGGTGCCTGTTTATGCGAGGAAGTTTTACAATAATGGGGCATGCCAAGAGAAGGTTTCATGTATAATTCCCTTAATTTATATCACCATGGAGGAAGATATTTTTCACATCTATCTAACGCAAGGGCTGATTGCAGACTAAAGCAACAAAAATGAAAGTCCCTACAAAGGTCAAACGAGCAACTCTGACAACTATTTCTCCATAGTCAACTTAATACGATTGTGTGAACGCTTCGAAAATTTGTCAAGCTTTGTATTATTCAATTGATACCTCTAGGCAGGTCTTAATTTTGAAACGCTTCCCAAGAGGTAGATCAACAAGATGCTAGGTATCGGTTTCGTGCAATGCAATTTTTTTTTGGGTGATTAAGTGGGAAGTGGGGAAGATAGGCCCCTACCCTCTTTTGAAGTAGAAGTAGAGTAAGCTGTTTGAAGATGTTAGTGGTGGGAATAAAAACTACAAGAAGATAGATTAATATGTTGAGGTGCTACTACTATGACCCCAACCCCTTTCATGTGCAATGTATTTAATTCAACCATTCTACAGCTTGCTGCCAATTTGGATTGGATGCGGTTTCTTTATAGTACTTCGGCTCATGAAAGAAAGAACACTAGTTGAGCAGTAGTGAAAATGTCGGAAAATACTGATGTGCAGATCTCACCATTGTAGGATAGGATTCAATAAATATGGGCTATGGTAGCTTTTAGGAGACACAGAATTAGGATGGGGTCCATCAGGTTTGGAATAGGTAGCGTCAATGTCACTATACTAGGTAGTCCTCTTAGCATCCTCAGGGGTAGGTACATCAGATGTGACATCAGAGGCACAAGGTTTACTATGAATGGACAAGAAATTGAAGGGACTCATAACATTGAAATCCTTTCTATTCAATGCCATAACCTAACAACACTCATACGGCAGATTTCTTGGACCACTTATTTTTGTTCATCTTTAGGTAAGAGAATAAAAACTGTGGATCCAAAGATACGTAGCTAAAAATAACCGTTCCCCAAAAATTCTCATGGAAAAGAAGATGAGAGTGACAATGTATGAACAGTCTTAATGATACAACGACATTTGCCACTTGCTACAATGTGCGTCAGGACAAGATGATTGAGCCAAGCTTCCATGAGACAAGCATTATTTAAAAGTCTTAGACAAATATTCTCTGCTAGAATCATAACAACAAATTTAAATTGGTTTAGAATATTGAGTCTTGGATATTGTAGAAAACTCATCATAAACCTGACAAAAAAATCTGATTTAAAATATAATAAATATTGGTAGGTGTAACAAGAAAAATCATTAACAAAAATCACATAATATCGAGCACTACCAATAGATGGCATGGTAGCAGTCCCAATAAATCATAATGTATAACATCTCAAAAGTTGAAGAAAAAAAAATTTCATTATTAGAAAATGATAATACAATATATTTTTCCAATTTGCAATTAATACAACCAATGACATTTTCAGATTGAGCATAACCCAAGTTGCCAATTGACACCAGGTACCTAATCCCCGGAAAGGAAGCATAACATAATCTATTATGCCAAAAAGCAAATGACTATAATGAGTTGACAAGAAATGAATTGCTAAGATGTTGAGGAACACGCAAGTCTTCCACAACATACATCTTCTAATGTTTTGCCCTTATCCCAATTTGCTTCCCTATCAAACGATCCTGCATAACACAACTTGGTGATGGCAAAACGACGTCGAAACCTTCATCATGCAATTATCCAACAAATATCAAGTTCATTGAGATTTTGAGAACTAAAACACATTGGGGAAAAGATAATTTAGTAGAAGAAGATTCAACCAAACCAATGTGAGTTATGGACATAATTGAGCCATTAGCTATATGGATTAGTAATGAGTTATCAAGAAATAAATTGCTCAGATGTTGGGAAACATGCAAGTCTTCTGCAACACACATCTCTTAATATTTTGCTCAATCCCAATTTGCTTTCCAGTCGAG